AGGCTAACTGCAATTGAATGAGTTTAAAAAGTGACTAAGCTGTGAAAGTCTAAATTGAGATTGAATGAAAATTAGTTTGGGAACTGAGCGTTTATTATTCATTGGATTGTTCAGTACTTTATTCGAATACCCGTGTCCTTCTTTATTTTGATATCCCTATACCTGAAGCTGTCCGAGGTGTAAAATGATGCTAGATAAAATAAAAATAATTATAATTGCCTTAGAAAAAAAGCAATGACATGCTCACGTAAGAATCGACCAAACACAATTTTAAATCTGTCCGAGACATCGGTTAACATGTAAATTTGATCTCTTAATAGTTCCCTATTCTCGACTGGAGCTCTTCGTTTCATCGTTCCGAAAGGAAACGTCGAAGCCGGAGTCTGTTTTGTATCCGTTATCTGTCGTTTAATCCGAACACCCGTTGCATAGAAAGCAGGGGCTTGTTCCCCCCAGATCGGGCTCGATTATTGGACGGCTAATTCAATCGTGGCACGATAAGACGATAGAGTAGATTTCAATCGGCCCAATTTTCTGCTTTCGTGAGCCACGTCTGGTGGATTATTCGCCGTTTCTGTTGTCGGCGATGGTCGTGCTACCTGTAAACTTTAATGCCTCGATGTTCAATTCAAGACTAACACATTCAACAATGCAATTAACAATTAATTCTCCCATTAATCCATCGAGGCGCGGACCAATGGAAATTTTACAACTAGACGGAGACGGCAGTCGCGTTTAACGTTCTACTGTTTTAATCTCTTAATGTAGAATATAATGACAAAAGGAAAGGGGACTGTTTGACTTTGACAGAGGGTCGTACAGAGGATTCTTCGTTAAACGTTGAATACTTTTAACTGAACGTAACAATGTTTATTAAGGCATGTTACTGCTCTGATTGCTTCGAAGTGTGTCTTGTAAAATTTGTATTCATGAATATTGGAAAATGGCGTTGAAATAAAAGTTCTAAAAAAAACAAAACAAGAGGTCAAACTTTCGCTTTCCTCGATACGCCAGCACAAATCTGTTACGAGCAGCTAATTTGGAAAAAACGGATCCGCGACCCCCTGGGCGATGTTCATCAAAACTTTGGAGTTTCTTTGAGTTTGCGATACGTCAATCGTTACTAACAGACAGCAATTCCAGACCTTCTAAGCCTCAATTAGAATTTAACATTTTCCTGGATGTCTGTAAACACGCATATGTAAAGTATTAACCATAAGGGTGTCAGTAATTTTTTCTTCGTAAACAGAAAGTCAACTTCGATAATTATAATTTTTCCATAATACAATTTTTTACTTTTTATAATGCAATCATCGCACTCGCAGCAGCTCCTTTCGCCTCCACTCCTCGCAAATTACCTATGAATGCTAATTGCCCTCGACAACTCGAAGATTTTCAGCTGAAAAATATCTCGAAGAGGTGTATATATTGCAAACAAGTATTCGTATTTAATAAAGTAAGTCGCGCCACAGCGGCAGACGAAAGTGTGCTGGCACAAACGTGATTTATGGTTTTCTCGCTAATTGGGGAACCGAAAGAGTTTTAGAATGTCTTCGAGGCGAACTATACCATTCACTTATTTCGCTGAATTCGTCAGACATCGCGTAATCCTCAAAGTGGGACCGTTCGAGGAATAAGACATTCGCTTGGAAGCTCTCGACTGTTCAGTGGTAACGTTTTGAGGTTCTGCTGAGAGCACGCGGTAGAGGAAACGTTGCGGCGACTCGAATATTACCATTAGCCGCAATTTATAGCGATGAATGCCAGTTCAATATGACAGTCTCCTTTCTTCAAATCTACATTTTATTTTTTTTTCTCACCGATTATTTGTCTCCATATTACATTTTTCTTACTTTATAATTTCTTAAGTTCCTGATATATGCTTGTCTTGTTACTATACGTTAATTTCTATTTTTGGCACTCAATTATACATTTCCAAATGTTCATACATAATCTATGCACAGTCGGGACATATTACTTCTATTATTGATATAATTTTCTACAAGCACTGATATTAGACCTCGCGAACAGCGTGAATATTCATCTACTACATAAATGTTTCACAATAATTCACTATTAAGGTATAAATTAATGCTCGAAGAACGCGTATATTTTTCATCAAAAAATAAAAAATAAGTATTTTAATAAAAAATTTACGTGGCCCATAAATATTTCCATTACTCATAGAATATAACATCGACGCTTAATTAAAATATAAGCGACTACTAACTTCATTAATAATATTTGTTCACCTTTTTATCATGCGTATATTGCCATAAGATTTCAAACTCAAATAAAGAAATACCGTTACACGAACCAATAATATCTATTATCTTTCGAAAATATATCTTCCCCGAAGAAATGCACGCTTCACGAAATCTGTTGGAGCATTTCTAATACGTCTTACTCGCGACGGCGTAAAAGGAGATGGTGGAAGCTTTTCGAATGTCTGACACCGCGTCGAATTGCTTTTCTTGCAATTTCAGAAATAAAAAGCAGAACCAAATCAGGCGAATACCGGGGCCGGTAAAGCGCCACGACACCTTTGCGGTGCGAGAAAGTAGCGCAGGCTATGATGGCTTAGCTTTTTGCTCCACGGTAATTTCTCGACGAGTGTGAAAAAGGTACTGTCACATGTGGCGCCAACGATTAATGACACCTGCTTCGTATCGAAATCAGAGTGGGCACAGGTAGAAGGGAGGCTTCATTGAAAAGAATGCCATCCTGTTTCGACAAATGGTGCCTATTACCGTCGTTTATACAAAAGAAACTCGCAGTTGGGACAAACCGTAAAAGTAACCTGGTAGTGTGTTTTACAAGAGTACGTTTTCATTACACTAGGATTTGCTGATTCCTTTTTGTTTACCTATGTGCAAGATAAGGATAGTTATTTTTTCAAATTTGGTATACCCTGTATATTTGATTTTTCTTTTTCCATTCTTTCCTGACTATCGTGCTCTGCGCCAAAGAGGTTTTCTCTCCGTCAATCCGGTAAATAAATAATTCATTTTTCGAACACCCACTAACGTTGCCGGCCTGCAGCTGATAAGGTTAATGGGTATTGGCTCGATAAGAAGATTGGTAATGTGATACGTCGGTACAGAGATGGAAGCATCGGCTGCAGTTTAATTAAATCTTCCCCAAGGACGTTTCTTTTAACGGAATACATTTAATTAAATTTTTGTTGGCCAGTTTGGCAACTGACGTCTTGATTATTCTGACATCTTTGGTCTTTCGAAGGGTCCAGGCAAAACTTATTCCGTCACGAAATAGGGATCCTCTGATCTGCATGATTTTCTGCCAGTTTTCGAGATCCCTCTTATTTCTTTTCTGTTAGAACTATTTACTGTTTAACATTCAAAAAATCAGAATATTATCACTCGCGATCTCAAATATTACCTATAAGTTATCAAATGCTTTGGAGACATTAATCTGAGTTTCTGAGGAGATAGTTTCAGTTTCTCAACATTGGCTAACTATGCATTGTACTCTTCAATTACGAAATGTGGAACACTGTGTAACATCATACTTAGTTGGTTTCCTGGGACACTGTTAATTAATTACTTTTGCTGGTTTACGAAATGGTTTGTATAATGGAATAGAAGGCGAACTTCGTATTTTTTCATTAAAAGCAGTCATAGCAAATTATATTAATAAAATGTTTACTCCTTCTGTGTTTGTAACAAAAATAAACCTGAATGTGCATCGAATCGGTCCGAGTTGCGGATAGAATTTAATTTTGTCAATAGCGCAATTCGCCCACTCGTTTATTACAATTTGTTCGTATTCGCGACGGTTAGATGTCTCGACGCATTTCAGTTTATAGGCATACAGTTTGAAACAACCCTAATGAACAGGTGAGGAGGCATAATAGGGAGAAGGTAGTTTCATAAATGTGAAAGATGATAACGAAGCAACTCTCATTTAACCTTAGTATCAACGCGAGTGCCACAGCCACGGCAGAATGTCACGCAGAATGTTTCGTTTCGAGAACAAAAAGTTAAAGAATGACAGTCGTTTGGAACTAGGATGGAACTACTAACCGTGGTACTTAGAAACAGTATGCGAACCAGCCGGAAAAACCCAGGGAAGCAACAGAAGTTGAACATGATAAACCTTAACAAAATACAGAGATTATAAACGAGATAATGTGTCATTCGTGACACTGATAATAAGAAAATATTATGGTCTGTGTAACGTGGTAAAAGTAAAATTAATACAAAGCAGGCTTGGCGAATCCTTACATTTAATAAAAATTTTTGTTCAAAGTCGTTAATGATAATCTTACGAGGATATACATACAAAGGTCAAACTGTTAGTTTAGATTTAGGATTTAAATTTAAACCCTAGATGTTTTGTTAGAAGTATCCAGTTTAGTGTCAATGTTGCGATAAGGGCTTACCATTATTCTAAACAAGAAACATGTCCCCACGTTTACACGTAGTCCATCAAGGAATTCTATTTGCTGAGGACAAATAGCCATCGAAAGGCCGACCGAGGGAAGCGGAATAAGTTACAAGTCTGAGCAAATTACCGCGCCTCCATCATTCCCCGATCAAATACGATCACCCTAATTGTGACAAATGTTTAACGCCTTCCAACAAACCGAAATAACCTCAACGAAGCAAGTGGAGGGTAGAAAGAAATACGATACAAGACACGAAGTAAAGTTCCGTCCTTGTTACTAAATACTATTAAAAAATAACTAAACTAAACCTACCCCCTCTTAATCAACGATTCATCGTCAAGCCTATTCACCCCTATCATCTCTCCAACGATACTCGATATCTCATTGAACCGCGATATCCTTGCTGCGGTCAACTAATGCCCAACCTCTTGGAAGCCATTCCCGTTAATTTCTTTTTCGAAAGCATCCCGCGATTCCAAAAACGAGCACGGGAATCCCCTTCCGATCCGTGCCATGAGTTTAAAAAGTTTACGGAACCATCGCGAGGTGGGTTAGGGAGTCAAAGGGAAGAGTCGGGGTATATATCCGGCGCGTAGACAAGAGTGGGGCTCCCGCAGGCGGAGAGATGGCGAGAAGAGAGGGTCGCGACGACCCACCCCCACTCGGCGTCGGGGACGCGACTGCTGGCGCATTTTCTCTCGTCGAGTCCTGGAGCCACGCTCAATTTCGTTCGCGGTATCGCCGTGAGACGGCAGCATCGTTTCTCCAACCCCCGAAACCGCTCGTAGGCGTCAGTGTGTCCGTTCGTTCGAGTGGCGTCGGAACACCGCGCCGCCCCCCGGTTGGTAGTCGGGCGTCTCGCGCCACCTGCCGCGCTCGCGAGGCGCCGCGACGCGCTCACTGACCGCCACATACGCGGAGGATCCACGACGACGAGAGATCCGTGCACAGCCGCGGCGGGCGCGCTCGAATGCCGGACCTCTCTGTTTATGAGAGGCGTCGCGACGCAAACGGCTGACGTCGGCCGGCGGCAATTTCGACCGCGGATACGAATCGGTTTGTTACGCGCGCGATCACGCCGCTGCGCCCGCAGGAGGCGGAGAAAAAAAGAAAACGGTACCAATTGTCCCACCGTGGACATCGACGAATCACGTGCACCCAGTTGTGACACGGCGCGTGTGCTCCTCGACGAATAGGCGACAGCTGGCCCAATCCTGGACGCTCTGGTGCGGTAGTTTCGAGTTTCTGGTGCAACTCGCGAGAAGGATCCTGTGGTTTCTGTTTTCCAAGGACAACCGCGTTTCGAAGTGTTTTGGGATACCCCGAAGCGTTTGGACGGGGTGTTGTGCCACGTCTGAGGAGAACACCGCGAAAAGAGGAACCGTAAGTAGATGAGTGATGTACGCCGCGTACGTGACGCGCTGGTCGGAGATCACCCAGTGCGGAACTCGAATAGGGGAGATTCGAGCTGATCGGTTTTGGTGGATTGTGATTTAACAAACGAGGGTAGCTTCTAATATTTTTTACTTGGATAGTCTGCGACTGGTTCCCCTTTGGGTAGGCTTCTTTAATTATGTGACGAAACGGTTCTCTGTTTAGGATATTCTGACGCATTTGACTTGCTCGTGTTGACTGTTTCCTTTGCCTTGTTCGAGAAGATCCCTGTGACGCAACATTTCGTTTACTTTGCGTCAACGAATACACATCTAGTTGTATGTGTCTGAGACACTCTAGTGTGTTAATATCTACAGTATTTGCCGCGCTGGCTCTAAACTTCTATGACTATGCACCGAAGCATGATGTATGCACTGATATGACGTTATTAGAAGAATTCACTCTTCGGTGAATTGTGAGTTTTGTAATATATTTTATACCATTATTCCCAAATCGTTCCTATCTTGAGGCTACTAACCTTGATGATGTCCATATGGTGTACCTATTTATCATTCCTTTTCTTCCCAACCTCTCTTGATCAAACTCCTTTCATCGAACAAATCTTCCTAGAATCTACATTTAGAATTTTTTTACACGTTAGACTCGATTGTGTTTATCGTTTCCTCTGCCATCTCCCTGAAGTATCCATCAACGCAACATAATTTCCAACTCCTCGGTCACTCCGTTTGTTGTCTTCGCCTGGGGCACTTTGCGTGTTAATTTCAACTATGTTTATCTCCGTGTTTATGTTGCTTCCAAGGAGACTCCCATGGCACCGCGAACTAAAGATCCAACCACGTTGTAAATACGCTTATTAGCACTCCAGATCGTGGCAGATGCGAACCATTTAGCGAAATGTGATTTTCCTAGCGAGCGTAGCGCTCCTGTTTTTCGAGGCTCCTTCCATTATTCTCCTTGCCCTTCCGTATTCCGAACAAGCAAACGTCATCCTCCGTTATCCAAAACACCCTGGCGCGTTAGCCTCGACCGCGTTATTTGCGCCGCATCCACGATGAATCCTCCAGCATACCGTGCTCTCCGTATCCTTTTGACACCCCGTTAGGTTGCCCGTGTTTGGACCACCCGGACACGCGCTAGCCCCGACAGCGTTTACGTGTTTCTTGCGGTACATTCGGGGAGAAACCTGTATCACAACTCGCGGCCCGTTTTCTCGATGGGTTCCATTCGTCTAGCCTTGTCTAGGATGTCCCGGAGCGTTAGCCCCGACCTGTTCGCGCTGTTCTTGCACTTCATCCTTGGAGAATCCTGTGACACCTGTGACGGGAAAATCCAGCGCTGTGAGTAGTTGAGCGATGACGCCCGATACATGAAACGTGTTGGTTTTCCCGGATACCCAGTACGTAACTTACGTCAGATTTTTCAGTGGATTAGGCTAGCTTCGATATTTTGTTCTTGAACGTATCGGCCGCTTTTCGAGCGAGTACTCGACTCGATTATTCACGCGAAATAGCCTGATAAGCATTCCCGCCACTTGAAAACAGCCTGTTCGTTCTCTCGTGTTCAGAGCGCTATGACATGTTAGGCTCGACTTTGTTCGCACGTTTCTGGTGCTCCATCCTCTACCACTAGCCATGACAGGAAAATCCAACCACAAGTAGCTAAGTGGTGCACGCCCGTTACGTGACGCGCTAATTTGACATTACACAGCACAGAACATGCATCACTGCATTTGAGTGGATCGTCTCGGTTGATTGGGATTTCCCAGTGGACTAAAAGCCCTTCTCTTTCTTTTAGCATTCCGCTTATTTGTCCAAGTGCTGGGGAGGTGGTCCTATTGCTTAAATCGAATGTACCTCTGATATCCCTCGAATTTCATCGTTTTATCCGTGAGGCATAGACGTTCTCCCATTTAGGCCAATGCCTTTTCGGTGGAAGAGCAATCCTCGAGCAAACTCTCGCGCGAGAGAAAGTCAATACCATAAGTGAGCCTTCAGCGTCGATCGAGGTCCGCGTTTCCTGTTCCATACCTAAGGGGGAACCCTGTGACAATGTGTGCTCCCCAATTTATCGAGACACATCATTCATTTAACCGCATCTAGGACACCCTGGTGAAATTCACGCATTTCTTGTACGTCATCTCGTTCTGTTTATTTAACCATGTTTGAGACACCATAGCGCCCGAGACACTCTCACGGAAGCAAATGGGAACCTTTGCTCTAAAAGTTGCCTTGTCATTGAAAGTACCTTTACTCCCCATGGTGTATCCACTATTCTCATTCTCCATAGCGTAATCCTTCCCAGCTAAATTCTCCAATAGCCATTAGACCTCCGCGCGTTAACTCATTTCTCGGCCTGCATTCGAGAACTATGACACATAGATTCGAACCACGGGCTGTAAGGAGCTAACCTGACGTATGCCCGATACGTGACGCCCAGATCTTGGATTACCCACCGAGTAACCTACACCGGGGATTCGAGCTGATGGCCTAGGTGGATTGGGATTTCCCAGCGAAGCTTCCACCTTTTCATTTTTTTTTTTACTCTTCGACTTTTCCCCGAGCCGGCTCCTTCGATTATTCTCGTTGAATAGGCGCTCCCCTTTCCGCGAGTGTTGTGGATCGCAATGAAGAGCCGAGGTCGGAAGCGGAGAAAAGGGACGCCGAGGATTCTTTGGCTCTCCGAACAGGTTTTTCGATCCATGATTGCGGACGGTGATCAGAATTGGAAATTGAAAAAGTGATTAACGCGGGACTCTCTCTCTCTCTCTCTCTCTCTCTCTCTCTCTCTCTCTCTCACTCTCTTTCTGTCGCGTCCTTTCGTCGCGCTCGCTTTCTCCTGGCCTGGCAGAGATTCGTTCCAGCGATTTAAACGGCGATTGAAGTTTGGTGTCTCGGAACAGCGGGAATCATATTTTTCCGTTCGTTTGTGCTCTTTTACCTCGCGCGGGGCTGACGGAAGACTGACTAAGTAAACCGGGGAAACGGATTGACGCGGATGTTATTAAACCATCCGACACGCGAGATTCCGACAAATTTCGAGACGTGGATTATGGTTTTCGATGATTCGATCTTTGTTTCAATCAGAAACAGAAAATATCAGAAGATATTTTATTGATAAATCCTTCTGAGAATGCTTACTTATGTTCATTCTCAGTTCAACAGAGTATTCGTTAAAATGCAACACATGTTACGAGAAATACAAAATATGAAAAATGGTTGAATTGGTGTAAAATTGTGTTAAAATTCAAGTAGCTGTGGATTTTTGCAACCTAGAAATTCTATGTTTCCTTCCTTCCTTATATTTTTTATTCCAAGTACAATTTTCATTTAAAGTGCTAACATTCCTTCTGACGCATACTTCTCTTTTATGAATTTAATTAAATACTAAACCGGAGAGAATCAAAACTTTTTCATTATTGAAATGTAACAATAGCTCTGGAAAATGAGCCACCTACCTCGAATATTAATTAATTCAGGAACATTCATAATAATACTCAAGAGATTATTTCCTTTTCAAAATATGAAATGAAATTCTTCCACTAGAAATTTGATATACTATAGATACTATATGGGTTTTGGGCTTCGGCAAGTAAATGAATACTGGTGTATTAAAGGTATTTATCACAGTGCATTGTTTCGAGGGTTTCTATCTGCAGTGCTAGATGGAAATATTGTGGAAAAGTTCGATTCGTGACGAAAATTTAAACTCATGCCAGCTCTGTGAACAAAGTTGCTTCTCAAAGTATCGTAAGGGGATAGAGAACCGAGTTGCAAGTATTAGCTTTTGCCGTGGAAGTGATAGATTCCTCTGAGATTAAAGTTTGCTACAGTTTGGAGAAATATTTGAGTGTGGGAAATGGTTTAAGCGATAATGACGATTTATGGTAGCGCTGAATGAGTGTTTGTTTTATGAAAACGTTCGAGCACATGTCTGACTATTTCTGGTAGAAACCACTGATCGTTGTCTACTCTATGTGTGACTTGTTCAAAGCTACACTACTAGATATTTCCTTTTACTTCTAAAAAACAAAGAAAACCTTCGATGAATACTTCCAAATGAACACTTATTAATAAACAATCACGTAATCTATTATTTCAAACAAATTAAAAGACGACCAAGCTCGTGAGACCGAAATATGCTAAAATCAATTCCTTAGAATAATTAATCCACGGAAAATCCATTACTATTCCACTGGAATCGAATTTCTGTGTTGGAGAGGATTTAAGGGGAGTTTGTCAAAGATTTTGAGGTCTCAAGGGAAACAGATTGTATAGAGGAGCTGATGATCTTTGCGGTGGCTAATTAGACGGTGACGTTTGGATTCCACAAATCCGGTTAATGAGATTATCGGAAGTTCTGGTTGGTGAATAATGCGAAGACTTCGACACGACGCGATAGCAATAGTTTCGATACGTCTTCACCGATCATCAATTGTTCCATTTCGATGCTAATAATGTAGCGGAATTACAGCCCCCTGAAATTGGGTTAATGAGCTAATTTGTACATGGCCCGATAACGTGATCATGGAAAGTATCGCGTTCAGATATACGGTGAGACCTTCCATAACGCGATACTCTCAGAACGCGGTTCCTATATTTTCCAGGAGCAAAAATTGCGATATTTATAGGTGTCATTATTAAAAATTTCCCGATATTTGTTCCAAGGCACAAAACGGTTGTGCAACACATTTTTACCAGATTTGCGTTATCCATTTTTGTTTATTTAACTCGGTGTGTTCATATGTATAAGTAAGCGAGGTACTATAAATAAATATTTATATAGACAAAACAAAAAATGCACGGGAACAATTTATTCAATAGCTACAAATGTACCGAATCGCGTGTGTTGTGCAATATTTTCATCCGCCAGCGAACATATTTATGTTCCTGTTCAGAAGTTTAGATACCCTTCCATTTTTATGGAAATAAAGCTTTTATTTAGACACATTCTCTATTAAATCGTTTCTGCATTAGTAGCATGTCACAATA